CGTTTTTTACTTCAAGGACCTGTGTAATGGTTATTCCAGGCAAGTTTGGGGTGAGTTGCAGTTGCAATTAGTGTGTAACGGGGACAAAATTGAGCATTTTCCAAAAATTTTTGAATATACTACAAGTTACGAGAAAAATACGCTCCAGCCCTAGATGACAACCCAATGATAAAACTCAGGGCTGGGTAACTCCAGCTAAAGGCAGTGTATATTTTGCCGGAGACGGCAAACCTTTAGTAAACGTTAGTTTGCCGGATATGCACTGAACATGCGCAGTTACTGTTTTTTTGTACTTAAACATTTTCCGGTGACAAGTTTTAGTCTGGCTCCATGCCAAAATTGTCGTTGTTACCTCGTATTCACAAGATGGGATTCAGACCATTTTATAATTTCGGACTTTATTTCCCTTTTAAAAAAAATCCTCCAGAGCCACAAATCTGAAAAAGAAAATGTACTGCTCTGCAAAAAATGTTTGAGACATGTTAAAATAATAAAAGAAGAATATTCTTATTTATTTGGGGATGAAAAAAAAAAAATTAAAAATGTGATGCGGTCGGAATCGAACGCGAGTCATCCAGCTTACCAGAGCCTTTGCTTAACCACTACACCAAACGTGTACACAACTTTTGGTGGGAATTTAATACATCTTATAATTCAGCCCTATTTTAAAGAGTACAGTGCGTTCTGTTGATATGGATTGCTGCCGGCAAACCTTTAGTAATCGTTAGTTTGCCATCATTACCTCCAGCAAAATATCCACTATCAAACTTAAATTGAGAATCTTCTTGAGAATCTTCTTGAATTTCTGTAAACTTTGTACACAAACGCTGAATACTGCATTCTTTCCTTCCTTTTGTTTAGTATTTTGTGGAAAGAAGGGAATGTTTTTGATTTATGAGGGAAATTTTGGGGTAAAAGAGGAAGACAACCAGAAAACGGGTTCAAAAATACAAGATGTTAACTTTGAAAGCTCAATGAATGCTCGATGCTGATCATGCTGATTGGCTGATAAAAAAATTAATATTTTTTTTTAAATTTGTTAATTAGCCAATCAGCATCAGGCTTTCATTCTGTCTGGCTTGCACGCGTGTTGTGAGAAGTACAACATGCACGTTGTCTCTGATTGCAAAAATAAAAGATAGGAAAGTCACATTTTCCTTTGAAAGTGCGTTTCAAAAATTACTACATACATGTACATGAGTTAGTATGAAGAAAAAAGACTGGCCTGCAAAAGTCACTTTGGTACTGAACAGTCATGTAAAAGTCATTTTTGAACGGAACTTGTAAAGAATAGAGGTGTCCTGAAGGTAACGATAACCCAAGTCTCAGTACACAATGTACATGTAAGCCCCATTGGTGTTACAACTGCACGTGTGCACATCACATGACAACAATGGTCTGTGGATAAACAAAGCAGAAAGACTTCCATAACCCACCTGGATATCACTTGACGCCCTTTGCAAAAAAAAAAAATCCTATGAGACTCGGGTCTGAAAAATTGCAAATGTGGCCAATTTACTGGACTACCTCCGTAAATAAAGGCCACACTTGGAACATGTACCCCCGGTAAATGCTTCCATATTTCCCCGGCAAAATTTGACTTTTTAGGACATGACATTATCAGAAAAACTAGTGATGTCCATACATACATGTACAATATAATTCTTTCCTATGGCAAAAAAGAAGATGGAACTTTTGTTGGCACAAAAGTTGCAGCATAGACATCATGATCAATACAAAACATCTTAAACCATGGTGCACAAAGCAACATTTTACATCTACTTCAAAACAAGAACACTTTCTTTGATTTTGTTGGTACCCCGCTATGATTTTGCATGCGTGTGGCAAACTGTCCATCCACAGACCCTAATCGTTGTCATGTGATGTGCGCACATGCAGTTGTACGAAGGACATTTACGATGCTATAACGATAGCGATTGCCGCAACAGTAGCCCCAGCATTGTTTTTAACATTTGGACATGATCTGGCGATAGTACTTACATGGCATTTCAAATAATTAACAACCAACCATTTGCCAACAAAAAAATCAGATTTCACTGTCAAAACGGCCACAGAATTACGACTTATGACACCTGAGATACAATTACAGATTTATGATTTGAAGATCAAGATACTAAGCTTTACTTACAATCTTGATGTAAAGTGAAATTTACCGTTTATCGGTGAGGGCTCTGTTGTGGATACCGTGCGGACGCCATTTTCAAAATTTTCCTCTTTTCACAAATTTCAGGAAACTATGGCGACAGGCGTCCAACATGACCTGATAAAGCAGGCACAGTGCTTTTGGTCAATGCTGGATGAGCTTGCAGAGACCGATGAAGATGCATACAGGAAGTTCATGGCCACAAACCTCCAAAGAGTACAGCAAGAATTGACACCGGCCAAGCCATGGATGTGTGTCAAGACCCGTATCATGGTAGGTTCACTTAGGCTGAATACATGTGTGTGTTTACGGTAACATCCTAACAATTATCCAGGTTGATAGGTAGGAAAATTACTTTGTTTTTAACTTTCCTTGGGTTTATTTGTCAGTCTGTCATACTTTTACTTTTTTACTTTTTTATCGGTAACCCACGTTACAAGAAAAGAACCTGGCAAATTTGCAAACCCTGCATTGTGTAGGGTGGATTCTCTCACAGAAGATCCCTTGCCATGAAATGACTATAAACTACAAAAAGAGGTCAACAAATAATAAGAGTAATTTCGTGTAAATACTTCATATAAGTGTGTCCACGCTCAAAAAATCGAATTTTTGTAAACTTTGTGGGATGAAAGGACTTAGGGAGCAAGTCACCAAAATAAACTGTTTTTGAGGCTTTTTTGAGGATTTTGAGGCTGCAAAAATTCATTTTTCGCGTTATTTTCAAGGTCATCCAGCCAAACTGCAAAGTAATGTCACAAAAGTAACTATATCACGACAAAGTATCATCCTTACCCTTACAAGAAAAAAATAGAAACACTTCTGAAAAATCTCTTTTATACTATTGTTAGACCCTATAATACAGCATGTTTTTACAACTAGCAAAACTGCATTTTTTACCCCATTTTTATCCCTCCAAAATGGCACTTGCCAGGGCACTCAGAATAATTTCCCTTCGGCTATGGTTAGTTCAGACATTGGTCTTTTCATATCTGGTGATCAAATTTTGGGTTATTGTATAGCCTTTGTGCAGTAGCGCTCCAAAAATGGTAAATCTCACAAAAACGTTAAAAAGTGTATTTTCAGTGTTTTCCTTTGTTTTGAGTAATAACTTGTAGGCCCTATAATTGGTATTGTTCATGAACCTAGCACATTTTCACAAACAGAATCAGACTGTGTATCATGTTTAGACCATTGGATGAATAGTAGGTTGTGTACTTCCCCCACACCTGGCTAGGCCCCGCCCACTCCCCTGTGCCACCGAATTTTGAACTTGTATGTTGCATAACGAAATAAATGTAAATAAATAATATGCAAGTGAACACTTTAGAAATAACAGAGTTCCTTTTCACAGCCTCCCCTTCCCCCACCCCGGGGCATTGCTTGGGGTTGAGGGTGGGGTGGGGTGTGACCACCCACCAATAACTTAGCATTGTCGGTACAATCATTGTCACATGGGCAAAACTCATGTGATTGCAAGCCGCAATGAATAATAATGGCCATATCCATTGTCCTCTGATTGAAGTGCACCATTATTCAAATGATGTCCAGTCCTCCCCTCCCAGCTAGGCCCCATCCCTTCCTTTGCCACCAAATTCAGATTTTGATTTCTGCATGTATTTGCCTAAATTAAATTGTAAATACTAGATATCAATTTGAAAGTGAACCTTTTACGATCTACACCAACAGCCGTCTCACAATACCCCCTTCCCCTGCCACCCCCACTCCCAAAGCTCAAAGATAACCACGCCCTCCCCAACAAGTCAACAAGTACAAGTTTGTTGAGATTACTTACATGCATATGGCCTTGGGGAAAGTCTGAATTATGTAAGGTGGCTTTTTTACAACATGGGGCAGCTTGAAATATCCGAAAAGTGAGGAGGAGAAGGGGTGTGTATGTCGCGGGGGTGGGGGGCGGTTGGGAAGGGTGATCTGGACACACGCATGTACGCTGTACACATTTGTTTATATTGCAAGCTACTACAGTAAAAGGTGTGGTGAACAAAATGACGTTTATTTTATTATTTTCAAAACGGAAAAGATCTGTCGATTTAGAGAGCAACTAACTCTTATTTGTTTATATTGAAATACATGTACTTTAAAACAACGATCACTCCAGTGAAAGCTCCAAGAGAACACAGCATCAATTTGATTGCATGAATTTCACTCTGACTTGACTTGGCTACATGTAGTTAGGGTCTGAAGTATTTTTTTAGTGGAAGCGTCCTCCAAATTTGTATTTGCCTGATCAACATTGTAATGTCCAATGCTTTATAATAATCCGATTTCAGACTGAATAAAACACAGACACGATTTCTGCTGTTCTGATGCATATGTGCCATGTTGGATGCATAATACAACACATGTGATCTTGCTGTGATTGAAGCATTTAACTAGAATAATAGTGGCTCATCATTGAAGCCTTTAAATAATATAATGAGGGTTATTACACTTCTCTTTTTCTTTGAAGAACTTAGCTCTGAAAGTTTAAGTGAGATTGTTTGATCTCGTTTGCTGTAAGGAAAACAATCCTAGTGTTCATTTCTCCAGTCTCAGTTTCTTGCAAATATTTTTCTTTTCGCTCTCATCTGAATTTGTCTTAATCTCTTTTTTTTCTAATAAAATTCCTTAGTACTTCTGAAGGAATATCCAAATGAACTGAAACTTAATTATAATGAACAATTTCCAATCGAAACTATTTTGTTTTCTTTCTCCATCTCTTTTTGGAAAATATCTGAACAAATCCTTAATTTCGTTTTTTTTTTTTTTCTTTGAAACTGATTCGTTTCCTTTCTTTTCCTTTTTTTTCCTTTTTTTTTTCTGGTTTTTTTTTTCTTTTCTAGTCAACATAGTCTCTCAAGTAGGTTGGTCGTTGGCGGTTCCTTCTTGGCCTAGTGTGTGGTTCTGGTGATGTCTGCGTAGATGGTTTTGCTTCTGGCGGTGTGAAGACAGATCTGGATGTAGATTCTTTGTTTGAAGAGAGATCTGGTTGTGTAGGACTGGTTTCATCTGGCTGGGTTTCAGGGTTCGATTGAAGAAGAATGCCTTCTCTCCAGTCGTCCTCGGATTCTGCATCATCCTGATGCATGGTTACGTCATCTGTGTTGCGCACTACGCTGTTGACAAGTTTAAAGTGGCTGGCATCTCGATAAATGTCTCGCCCGTCGGTGACTCTTCTGGCTGCTATGGATGAGTTATCGATGCGGTATATGATGTAGAATGCCGGTTCATATGCTGTGCTCCATTTGTTCTTCTTGGTCTGTTTGAGAAGGACGTAGTCTCCAACTACAAAGTTGTGTTGTTTTGTATTCCTGTTTTCAGCATTCTGTTTCAGCCTTTCCTTGTACTGTTTGTCGTTTTCGTCAATGATGCTGTCCTTGATGTTTTGAGTGTGTTTTCCGGGTTGGTGGTCAAGCTTTGTTCTCACCGGTCTGTTCATCAGTGCTTCGTATGGTGTGATGTTAGTTGCTGGGTGTGGCGTTGAGCGGTATCCAGTGAGCATCTCCTGGATGATGATGTTTCTGTTCTTCTTCTGAAGATGGGCAATTTGCTCTGCTCGGTTCAGCAACTTCATGAAACTCTCGGCTTCTCCGTTAGCTCTGGCATGGTCTGGTGTGACTTTATGGTGGTGGAGTCCCTCTCGCTTGGCGAATTCAGTGAATTCCTTGGAGTTGAAAGGGGGCCCATTGTCGCTTTCTAGTCGTCGCGGTGTCCCGTGTGCAGCGAACATCTCCTTCAATTTCTCCATTGTCGGTTTGAACGCCGTTGAGTGGGTAGTCTTGACTTCTGGGTATCTCGTACGTTTATCTACAGCGACTAGGTTGTAGTGACCATCTGGGTACGGTCCTCCGAAGTCTACAGCGATAACTTCCCATGGTTTCTCTGGTATGGGTGTCATCTTGATTGGTTGCTGCTTATGGTCTTTTGTAGTTACCTGGCATTCGTAGCATTGTCCGATGATCTGCTCCACCATACTGTTCATCATTGGAAACCAGTATTTCTCTCGGAGCATCTGCTTGGTCTTCGTCATCCCGAGATGTCCTAAGCTGTGTGCTGCCTTGATGACTTTGTGCTGCAGGCAGTTGGGTATGACGATGCGGTTAAGTCGGAACATCAGGCCGTCTGCTTCGTACAGCTCCTGTCGGATTGAATAGAAAGGTGTGATGTCTGGGTCCTTTCTGTGACTTTCCCAGTCTTCCGCACGGATTCTCTTGTGTAGTTTCTGGAGCTGTTTGTCATGTTGGGTTTCATATCTGATTCGGTCGATGATAACTGCATGGTCTGCTTCTATGACTTGTTTTATCATCTTCTCGGTGCTATCCGTTCCAGTCTCCGGCAGGGGGTGTCTGGAAAGGAAGTCTAGCGGGTCTGCTTCGTCCTTGCCTGGTTCATAGACAAGTTCAAAGTCGACGTCTTGCATGTTCATCACCCATTTCTCAATTCTTGGAGGGAGCTTGGCTGTCGTCTTGTTGAACATGGGTATCAGAGGTTTGTGAGCGGTGATGATGCGGAATTTGGGTGCACCGTGAAGATAGATGCGAAATCTGTTTTTCGCCCACTGGACAGCTAGAGCATCTTTCTCAGTCTGGCTCTATCTCTTCTCTGCTTGTGTCATGGTGCGGCTGATGAAGTGTACTGGTTGAAGTCCTTTGGGAGTCTCTTGGAAGAGTCCAGCTGATAGACCTTGATGATAGCTTGCTTCAGCTCGCACTGTGATTGGCAGTTTTGGGTTGAAGTACGCCATGGTATCTTCATTGGTGATACTGTCCTTCAGCTTCTCGAAGGCTGCGTTCTCTTCTGGTCCCCATTTGAACTTGCTGTCTTTGTGTGTCAGCTCTCTCAGCGGTGCTGTCAGTGATGTATATCTAGGGATGAATTTGGAGAGATATCCAATCATGCCTAGGAAACTTCTCACAGCTTCTTTGGACTCTGGGGCCTTGCTCTCTTTGATTGCTCGAACTTTGTCCATTGAGTCGGCTTGAGTCCATCCTTTGTGAACTTGTAGCCATAGAACTCAATCTCCTCAACTCCGAACTGGCATTTGTCAAGGTTGAAGGTAATGCCAAAGTCAGCTGCTCTTTGCAAGACTGCTTGCAACGCTTTGTCGTGTTCTTCGATGTTACGCCCTCCCAAGAGAATGTCGTCTCGCTGGTTGAGGCTCTTTGGGATGTCCCCAAATATTTTGAAGATAGTCTCATCGAAGAGATCTTGGGATGCTTTGGCACCGAAGACTAATCGTCTTGGACGCAGATTGCCCCGAGGTGTGCTGAAGGTTGCTATGCCTCTCGATTCTGGGTCTAGTAGGAGCTGGTGATAGCCCTGTTTCATGTCAAGTTTAGAGAAGACTTTGCAGTCATGGAACTTGTACATGAAATCTTCAACCACAGGCCCTTGGGTGATCCTGTTCCTCTCCATGAATTTGTTTGGGACGCGTAGATCGACACTGGCTCTGATCATGTGTGGTTGTAGCTCATCTCTCGGCGTCTGTCCGAATCGTGGCTTTGGTTGCACCACGAGTGGGGAACACCATGTCACTGGCTCGCCTGGGGGAACTTCCTCAAAGATGCCTTCCTTGATGCACTGGTCTAACCATTCTTTTAATGGTTTCTGGAGGTAGTATGCTACAGGTCTCGGTTTCTGGGCTACTGGTGCTGCTTCTGGCTTCATGTTGAATTTTGCGAAGATGTCTGTGTCGCTCTTGACATCTCGGATCAGGCCGATACCCTGAAATACCCTTTTGTATTTTCCGACGATTTTCTGTGTCTGCTGGCGAGCTGTGGTAGTGTTGCTGATTGATTTGACAGTCTGGGTGTTCTCTGGAATTCGAAGGTCGTTTATTTCTGCAAGGGAGCCGTCTGGTTGGAGTTTCATCATCCCCAGTTCAATGAGGGTGTTTTTGCTGATAAGTGGAGGCGAGTTAATTCTGCCTTTGACAACAACAAACTTTGTTGCTGCTCCACGTGTGTCATTTCTGACGATCGTCCGAAACTCCCCTTTTACAGGTAAGTCACTCTGCAAGGTGTGTAGTTTGATATGGCTTGCCTGTAGTGATTGTGGATTGCTCGATCTGTGCTGCAGTGCCTTGTGTTGGTGTTCATCCATGATGTTTACCTCTGCTCCGCTGTCTGGCTCAATCCGTACATCAACGTCGTCAATGCGGACTGTGACTGTGCTGTCGTCATGGACGGTTTTTGCGATTCTCCGCACTTGCTTCAGGTGTTTGACTGCCTGGTCAAAGAATTCGTCATCAGAAGAAGTTTGATCGTCTTCTTCCATGCTCGTCTTCTTTACGTGATTCCCACGCTGCTTGGGTTTGGCATATTTTGGGGGGACAGGCTGACTGGGCGGGCCTCTGCTTTCTGCACGGAGTCGGTCGGTTCGGCAAACGGATGCAAAGTGATTCCACTTCTGGCATTTGTTGCATTTCTTGCCGTAGGCCGGGCAGTTTTTGCCTTGTGGGTGGGTGCCGGTCAGTCCACAGTATGCGCACGGTGGTGATTTATGGAATTTGGGCTTTCCATAATGCCCACCGGTGGATTTCTTCTGTCGTGATGATTGCTGATATCCCACCTTGGCCACATTGCTTGCTCCGTCATCAGGGGGTCTCATGCTGCTTATCTGCAAGGACGTATCCTCTATCTGTGCGGCCTCTGTTAACATTTGTGTCAGCGACCACTTCTTGTTAATGGCTTTCTGGATGAGGGATTTGCTTGTTATGGTTTGGATCAGGTGCTCTAGAATTCGGTCATCACGAGTGTCTCCAAACTCACATTGAATGGCCTTTTCCCTTAGCCTAGCTGCATAAGCCATGGTGGTTTCTTGGGGTGTGGGTCTCATCTTCAGGAACAGGTATCTGGCATGATGTTTATTTTTCTTTGGGGTATAGTAACTGTTTAGTTTTGTCTTCAGTTTCTCATAAACATCATCCACATCCCCCGGATTGGGTAAGCTTTTCTCCAGTCTGGCGATTTCTTTGCCACCATAAATGATCAGGGCATCCTTTTTGTCGATGGGGCTGCTAATTTTGAAGTAGCGAAATTCTCTCTCTATGCCCTCTAGCCATTCTTCCCAAGCTTTTCCAGTTGATATTTGGTCATCAGGGTGAGTAAATGGTTGACTCTTCAAGTTTCTGGTTTCAGTTACAACAGTTATCGGTACAGGTTGCTGTCCTGATCCCGTGGCCATGCTGTTACTACACCAAAAGTACACGATGTCAATGTCAATTTTCGCCACAAATTCACTCCTTTTTCTGCATAAGTTTCTGCTTTACTAGGTATTCAGTTGCTTACCCAGACATCAGAGGTTTTTTCTGTTTATCCTCGTCGCCAATGTAATGTCCAATGCTTTATAATAATCCGATTTCAGACTGAATAAAACACAGACACGATTTCTGCTGTTCTGATGCATATGTGCCATGTTGGATGCATAATACAACACATGTGAGCTTGCTGTGATTGAAGCATTTAACTAGAATAATAGTGGCTCATCATTGAAGCCTTTAAATAATATAATGAGGGTTATTACAAACATGAAGTTTTGTGGCACCAAATACACTTCTGTAGTGTGCTTATTATTACCATGGTAACCGTTGTAAAGACATCGGTGCTCATAAACTAAAGTCAAAAATACTTCCATTTTCAAAGCCTATCACGTAAGTATTATCCTATGACTGAAATTCATGGCTATATAATAAAACAACAATACATGCTCAGTATGTAAAGTGGCCGCCATTGGTGCGAGAAGCGCATGTAATTTTCACCTCTTAATCTGTACCATTTTGTTTGTTTTAATGTATACGTTTCTTATACACATGTAGTTATTACATGAATCAATGATTGAATCAATTGCAGAGCATTAAATAACATCACCACAATTGTGTATATTTACTTTAGTTTTGCCAATTCGGGTTGAAAACCCACACATTTTTGGAATAAAATCAGTAATTATAAGTCCCTATGGCAGTGACAATGGATGCATACAATTGCTTGACTGGGATGAATGTTTGTACTCAAAAATACAGAAATTATGCCCAAAATGTTATCTAGACAAGAGTTTGGAAAAATATATAGGCCTAATAAACACCTCTAGTGGTAACAGCAATAGAACCAAGAATGTCATATTAGTAGGCCTAATGGTCAACCAATATTTTCCTGCCAAATCGGTTGTTGGAAAATCGGTCAAAGTATATGCAAATCAACATGGCATCACAGTGTGCTGTACCCCTCCCTTTCAGAAAAAAATTAAAAATACCCGCCAGAAAGGGATAAAATCTGTAAGCACTTGTGGTTCGGTGGGGAACTTGGTTTGTTTTTTTAATTTACACATTAACAAAACATTCCCTGCTTGTATACAAAAAAACCCCGTAATTTATAAGCACCAATACATTTAGATTGCTTGCCATATAACAATGGATGCACATAGTCACAGAAGTGTGGCCATGTTGACTGATTGCTGATGACAGTTTGGAAGAGACTCAAAATGTCATGTTGATTACGAAATTACGATTTTGGAGGGCATAGCAGCACCCATAACGGTACTATAATATTCGACTTAATATGTGCTTGATCTGACCATATTTACACTTCAATTCAATCAATCAATTGATATAGAGGCCATTTTGTGTTTTCACTAGAGTGATAGTTGTTTTAGGGTACATGTATTTTAATATACAAATATGAGTTATTTGCTCTCGTAATCGCCATATCACCTTTCTGTATTGAAAATAATAAAATAAATGCAATTGTGTTAAAAAAAATTCAGCATTATGTACATGTACCATGTACATGTATCCATATTACACCCCCCCCCCCTGCGCTTTCCAGATATTCCAAACCACTCCCACGTTGACAAAAAAATAGCGAAACCCACATAGTGTATGTAAATATGTGGACTTTCCGTAAGGCAATATGTAACCTTAACAATAATACATATTCTGTACAATTCTTTGGGAGGGGAGGGGTAGTTGCTCATAATGAGCACTGGAGTAGGAAGACGGATGGAAGGGGGTGGGCTGTGAGACGGGTACGCCTGTTGGTGTAGATTATGAAAAGCTTCACTTGCAAATTGACATCTATTTACAATATTAATTTAGGCAAATACATGCAGAAATCAAAATCTGAATTTGGTGGCAAGGGAAGGGGTGGGGGCCTAGCTGGGAGGGGAGGACTGGACATCATTCGAATAATGGTGCACTTCAATCAGAGGACAATGGATATGGCCATTATTCATTGCGGCTTGCAAACACATGAGTTTTGCCCTGCATGTGACAATGATTGTACCGACAATGCCAAGTTATGGTGGGTGGTCACACCCCACCCTCAACCCCAAGCAATGCCCCCGGGGTGGGGAAGGGGAGGCTGTGAAAAGGAACTCTATGTTATTTCTAAAGTGTTCACTTGCATATTTACATTTGTTTCGTTATGCAACATACAAGTTCAAAATTCGGTGGCACAGGGGGAGTGGGCGGGGCCTAGCCAGGTGTGTGTGTGGGGGGGGGGAAGTACACGACCTACTATTCATCCAATGTTCTAAAAATGATACACAGTCTAATTCTGTTTGTAAAAATGTGCTAGGTTCATGAACAATACCAATTATACAAGTTATTACTCAAAACAAAGGAAAACACTGAAAATACACTTTTTAACGTTTTTGTGAGATTTACCATTTTTGGAGCGCTACTGCACAAAGGCTATACAATAACCCAAAATTTGATCACCAGATATGAAAAGACCAATGTCTGAACTAACCATAGCCGAAGGGAAATTATATTGCAAGTGCCATTTTGGAGGGATAAAAATGGGGTAAAAATTCAGTTTTGCTAGTTGTAAAAACATGCTGTATTATTGGGTCAAAAAATAGTATAAAGTAGATTTTTCAGAAGTGTTTCCATTTTTTCTTGTAAGGGTAAGGATGATACTTTGTCGTGATATAGTTACTTTTGTGACATTACTTTGCAGTTAGGCTGGACGACCTTTGAAAATAATGCGAAAAATGAATTTTAGCAGCCTCAAAATTGCCGAAAAATGGCCCGTAACCATGGCAATGGGAAAAATAAAAATTTTAAAAAGTCTATTTTGGTTACTTGCTCCCTAAATCCTTCATCCCACAAATTTTTTAAAAAATCGATTTTTTGAGCGTGGACACTTATATGAAGTATTTACACAGATTCTGCTTGATTTTAATATTTTAAATTATCTAACTCTGAACACAGTTGAAATAAATTTCCATTTCAATACAAAATTGGTGGAAAATGTATTTCCCTATCCCAAACTACCCCTTCACGAAATGTTTGAACCCAAGTCTGCGGCGCACTCTCTTTGGAACAATACGAGCTACGCGCAACGCGCACACCAGCATCCATTTGCACACAAATACCCCCCCAAAAAGTGTCCGGTTTCTGGTTTGCGCGCGCGCGCGCGTCGCCGTAGCCATGCGCGTCGGCAAAATGAAAACATTTTTTTTTCAATGAAAGATGATGTCTCAATACCGCCAAACTCACTGGTTTGACTGGAATCCTGCTGCTGCACAATTTTAACGTGTTTTTAGATTGGGTTATGGTCGAGAATAAGCTAAATGTGGCCTCTCTGGCCTCCCATATATTTGCACTAAGTTTAGTCAGGCACCATTTGCAGTCATCAGCCGACATATGAAGCAAAACATTCAGGTAAAAAAAAAAAAGCCGCGTCGCCGCACCACTTTTTGGGCAAGCGGTGTATGCAAATGTATGCGCGTTCAGCGTTGCGCGTAGCGCGTATTGTTCCAAAGAGCAAGCACTACAGCATTGGATTCAAACATTTTCGTGAAGGGGTGGTTTCAAAGAGAGAAATACATTTTCCTCCAGTTTTGTATTGAAATAAAAGTTGGAATATATCCAATGACAAGGATCTTTCAGTTATATAAAACAAATATTGAGTGGCTTTAAATTGTGAAATGGGAGGAATATTATCACTAGGTCAAATCTGGACTTTTCCATTTCACTCGGCAAAAGTCCAGATGTTACCTCTTCTAAATCAACCTCGTCCCCAGGGTGTCGAGCAGTACGCGCCAACCACTGCCTGCTCTCTCACCCTGGTATTGGATCATTTGCATGTGCAAAATTTTTGAACACGTATGCAAATTAGGAGTAGTCTGGTGCCTGCCTGTGCGTTACATTTGCGTTTGTTTTTGTATGCGGTGTCTGGGGTAAAAATGTAATCAATTCGTCGCAGCGCAAGCATGGTATGAGTTACGAAAACATGATTTTATTTTAATTCAACTGTTACGATCTTAACGAGACAACATGTAGTATCACATTTCATATTAATATTAACAAACTGAAAAGGAAATGAATATTTTCGAGAAGGCGTGGACGAATGATCGCGAAAACACGTACTGCACGTTGTGAATACCAACACCAAGTACACGATATAAATCCATTTCTCGCCAATTGCGGTATCGAATCAGGATGCAGGAATGAAGTTTCCTATCCAGGGTTTACTATTGGAAACAACGTTGGAAATAAAGTAAGCACTGGGGACGAGGTTGCTTCTAAATATCTTCTCTAGGACTATAAGAATCTATTTGCCAAGTTTGGTGTTTTGGACCAGTCGGTCACGATCTTGTCAAAAATTAGATCTAAGCCACCTGACTGTTAATATTAACTGATCGTTGGGATTCACCTACAATAAATTTCACGGGGTGTACGGCACTAGTCTATAATCCAAGACTTAGTAAGCTTGTCGATAATTAGTCGGTATTTACTTTTCGGATAAATGCAAATGATATATGCCTTTAACAAACGATATTGGTAATATACAAGACATTTCGATGTACGGTACTTCATCACGGATAATTATGAGGGGGAAAAAAGACATTTGGAGAGGACCAAGTGTGGGTAAAATAAACGGAAATAAGTTTTGATGTGTTCAATGTTTCCCCTTAAATTCTGTTTGTGTCATTACTGACCTCTTTGCGGCTGGCTTTCTATGAGAAAACAAAACTGTAGAAAGGATGAAAGTTTGGGTTAAATAAACGGAAATAAGTTTTGATGTGTTTGATGTTTCCCCTTAAATTATGTTTGTGTCATTACTGACCTCTTGGCGGCTGGCTTTGTATGAGAAAAAAAAACTGTAGAAAGAACCAAGTGTGGGTTAAATAAACGGAAATAAGTTTTCATGTGTTTGATGTTTCCCCTAAAATTCTGTTTG